TGTACATAAAACACCAATTAAAAATTATATAATGTGAGTCTATGGGAAAATGAGACTTGACTTAGGGACACTCTTGATGCACCAATTACGTCCGCATCTTGGGGTCTCACTGTATTTCAGCAGATTTCTAAATTCGCACAAAGCAATCCGAAAAACAGCAGTACGAACCGCTCCTTAGATCGATCGACAACTGACCGAGAACATTAAAACAAAAGAGTCGGAAAGGAGGGATTACGCAATGTGGAAATTTCCCCATTGCGTGGAATTCCAGTTATGAAGTGTTGTTGGCATTTCTTTTTTCGGTGTTAATAGTATTAATGTGACACCTGTACCTTACAATTCTTCTCTTTGCATGCAACTATGTTTCAGCTGTGAAAGAAGCAGCATTCGTGCATGCCATCAGTTCGGCAGGAGTCGTGGATGCAGTTGGACGGTCTTGTCGAGACGGACAACTGAGCTCCTGCGGTTGTTCTCAAGCAGCGCGGCCTTCCGAGCTGAAAGCCGAGTGGCGTTGGGGCGGATGCGGGGATAATCTCAAATACGGCTACAAGTGAGGAACTGAGAATCAGGAAATTTGCGTCTTGTCGTAATTTTCCACATTTTTCAGTCAATTTTCCATTGCCAAATAATGAATGCAGGAGTATATATAGTCATTCCTTGCGCCTGAACAACTTCTTGATGATGCCTGTTGGTGACTGAAGTCACTGCAACAAGAAAAAAGCTAGGCTGTAAAGAAAGAAATTAGTAGATAATAGATTGTCAAGAAAAACACAGAATCAGCCCGGGACAGGGGCCGGGAATTCGCGGTAGAGCTCCTGCGGTTGTTCTCAAGCAGCGCGGCCTTCCGAGCTGAAAGCCGAGTGGCGTTGGGGCGGATGCGGGGATAATCTCAAATACGGCTACAAGTGAGGAACTGAGAATCAGCTTTAAACGCAGGACAGCATTAAAAGGTTTACAAAGTCAGCAAAAACGTAACGGTTTATTACTTACGTCCTCATATATATCAGTAAGGAACGCGGACTTGTTGAAGAACTACTACGGATACATGACAGCCGTATAAATGAGAGAGAGAGCGAGAGTATTTTATATCTGTCCTTATATTCCCGGATCACGCATTGATAGTCATATTGCGCATGCATGTTCAAGCTTGAATTTATTTTTAATATATGTCGTTGCTTTTTTTTTCTTAATTTAGGCTTTGAAATGTGTAACTTGCTCATCAGACTCTTTACAGTTTTTCAGCGTTAGAAATGAAAATGAATGAAACGCAGAACTCAGCCTAGCTTTGGGACTGGCTAGGAACTTTTTAATTAATTTCCCGGAATTATCAATACTTATCAAGGTATCAAAATATCAAATAAAAAACTCGGGAAATAATTTCACAAATCACAAACATTTTTCATTAATATTAGCACAACAATTTGGTTTAGTTTGGCTTGGTATATTGAAATAGAATGACGATGTGTCTTCGTTTTTTGTGTGAATTTTTGTCATTTTCTTAAAGGGGTTTTTTGGACTTGTTTTCGAGTGTAGGTTGAATGTTGTACTTTGGAGCTTTCTTATTGTAGTCACTGGTAAAGAATCAAGCTCAAAGACGTACATATTTTACATGTACAGGTTTTTGAGGAGTGGAGTGATTTTCATCTGATTTAGATTATTGAAACTTGAACTGTTTTTTTGGTTTCCTTAGGAATTTTGGATAGTTTACCTGAGAAATGCTTGTCTCCAGAATGTCTTTTATTTTAGCTGTAGCTCTCTGATTTAAACAAAAAAACCGGGTCACTAATGCATAGTTTACTTTCAATATGCAAGAAAAAATAAGAAAACTATATTCTTGTCGACTCTGAGTCCTACAATAAAATGATCGGTCGTATGTCTACTATTTCAATATTAACGACTTGCTTTTATACTGAAAGGAAGAAATATGAGACACAATATGAGGAACGTTTTTTTTTCGATTTTCAAGCCAAAAATTACACGGCATCCTTCTTGCATGCATTATTCATGAGACACTTTCGATCAGCCTTACAGCAATTTAATAAAAAGAAATCGTCTTGTACTCTAGCATGAAAGGTTTGGAAATTTCTTCGGGCGGTTTTCGCACCATTCCAATCATAGCTTTAAAGGACCAAAAAAAAATTTTCATTTTCTTGCCCCAAGTCCCCGCCAACGCATATCATCCATCCCAGTCTTTTCACGTCAGGTTACTTTTCGTGTGATTGCTTCGACTGTAAATTACGCTTCACTTTTTCCAGGTTTTCTCAAACGTTTGTTGATGGGCGAGAGCGCGAGAAGAAAAGCAGAAAAGGAGCCAAGCGACTCAAGTCGAGGGCATTGATGAATCTGCACAATAACGAAGCTGGACGCAGGGTCAGTATATATAAATAAGTAGAGGTGTTTTGAAAAAGCATTCATGATGAAATACTTGAGATTTTAAACAACTTTTCAGAGAATCCAAGACTAAAAATTTCAATGGCATAAATGAGTTTATGGTGCGCGTGGAAAAAGAGTTTAAAGTATTCTTTTTTTCCCCACGCGTAGTATTCACCCATGTATAAAAAGTTCTTTAGAATATCCTTCGATACAAACGTAATAACTTGATTATAATGGAGAAATTTCAAACAAATGTAACAAGAAAACTTTTTTGTACTGAAAAAGTAAAAAGTTGATCCATTTTTGTTCAATTCATGTCTGAAGTCAAATTTTTTAAATTTATTTTCAAAATTTTGTGGTTTTAGATTCACAAAAGATTGGGGTGGGCGTCTTAATCAGGCATACAATTTTAGCCAAATTTCCAACTGAAAAACCCCTGTGCATGCCTTACTCAAGGGCGCATAGTACTCAAGTAAATATACAGTACATACAGTATTTTGGTCGCCACTGCAACAATGCTCTTGAACGTTTTTTTTTTAAACCATATTTCCCTTAAGAATATTCTACAGAAATAATGGGTAAGTAATTGCATCATTATGAGTTATATTTAGTGAGAAGCAATTTTATTATGCCATACAGCAAACATAGCAGGAATATTAATTTGCTGTATTTTTAGCCTGAAAATGCATTGCATTATGAATATTGAACAGAGGTAGCTGCATTGCATTCTATTTTTATGGCTCACATCCCTATAGATTAAAATCAGTGGTACTGAGCATCCTTTTTCCTTTTTTTAATTTACCAGCATTTTTTTTTTCAATTCCCTCGATTTAGTGCCACCCTCGCTTAGTGCCACAAAATGTCCTGGGACAGATGGTGGCACTAAATCGGGGTTTGACTGTATATATATACATAAACACGAATAAAGTCTGAAATCATGGTACAACGGAATTGAGTCTTTAGAATGACCGAAATGCATTTGATCTCATATTTGCCCATAGAAGACGCATTATATCACGATTGATTTCCCAAGTCAACAATCTCAGCTTATTTTTTTTCTTTTCTCGAGAGCATCCATCAGTCAAATGCAAACTGCTGATTCATCATCTCAATTTCAGAGTGTTTTCAAGAACTCCAAGGTGAAATGCAAGTGCCATGGAGTGTCTGGATCTTGCAGTCTCATCACTTGCTGGCAGCAATTGGCTCCCTTCCGCGAAATCGGTGAGAAATCTGTTGGCCAAATATTTGTCCAAGTACGAGCATCAATCATCAATGAATGTCTCAAGACGACGACTGATCACATCCTACATTATTTATGCTTTTGTCATCCCGATGATGCCGAACTTTGAATTCTCAATTGAAATGCATCATGAACAGGCAGCTTTATTAATACTGTATATTTAAAACATCACCGGACTCCAACAAGATGAGGAAGAGGTAGATAGAATTTATGATCATCGCTTTAAAAATCGTAGTTCTTCTCTTATTTCATGGAAGGACGCATTAATTATCATTTTAATAATATTACGATTATTTCCTGTGAACAAAATATGATTTACCCATGGGGGTTATTTTGTCTCATGAATTTCAGCTTTGCAAGTATTGTAGTTTTCTGAAACTGACTGGTAAATACTGTAGTTCTCTGTGACGATTTCAGTTTTCTCCGGGCTGATTTTTTGAGGAATTAATGTGCAAAATTATACCGTTGTTAAAGATTTGTGCAGTCACATCTGCATATAACACTTGAAAGTCGCGAAGTGACCTCAACTTTCAAAGTTATTTGAAAACTGGTTTTGAAAAGTCATCGAGAGCTGAAGTTTGCGGAGGATGGAATTTTTGGCCCAATCGAGCGCGGGGATAAAATGAAAAATTGGATCGTCTTTTCGACGTAGTTTCTTCTTTTGCACAATCATTCAGCAGAATTTTAGTCCACCGTAAAATTTAATTTATTTTAAATCTCATTTCAACGCGACTCATCGCATGTATATAGAGTGGGACCCCGGCATACGGACGCTTCAACATTCGACTTAGATGAGACATTTAAAACTTGAAAAATGTGACCCGATATCAGAAGAATGCCTCATCCAGATGCGGACTCTTTTCTTTGAACCATTTTTTAAAAGGACTGAAAGTTTCGTTTTTCTTGATTTTCATATCTCTCGATCCGATTAAGCTATTTATATTCAGACAACATTTTTCGTTATAAATTGCTCTAATTCATGATCAAAAATAGGTTAAATTCGTTCTTATTTTTGTATATTGTTTCATCATCTATGCAAAGTGTGACTAGACTTTTTTTGTTTCTTTCTTGAACTCCTTTTGCTGCCAGGCACTCAGATTCTGTATGGTTTTCTTCTGGAAAGTTAATTTCTGTATTTTGAAGATGATTTTAAAATTGAAATTGTTTGGGGTACTTTATTCCTCATTTTTGATCAACAGGAGGACCTATTAAATATGCTTCAATTGAAGTCTGTAAGAAAGCGTGATTCGACATGAGGATGCTCCAACATATAGGAACGAGGTCCAGTCACGAATTTTGGCCGCATATCGGGGCCCCGCGGTATATTAATACAGCGTCTCATTGATCATTCTGATGACTGGAGCAAAACTTGGCCTATTATTCCTGATGGGAGCTTCGCTGATTCTCGTTTTTTACCGCATCGTGAATATGCAATAGGTGACTATTTGTTCCGAAAGTACGAGACTGCTGCCATGGTGAAGTTCACTCACCGCGGCAAGATGCTGATCAAGAAGAGCCGACATCGAGCCATGCCCACGCCGGAGGACCTGGTGTACATGGAGAACTCTCCGGACTATTGCGAACGGAACGACTTGTACGGCTCATTCGGTGGGTGATTATTAATCTTTCATGTATAGTCATCGTGTTTACTCGGGCATGGATGCGTGAAATAAATATCGAGTGCTGCGTGGGTTGTTTATCAAACGTGTGAATGCACATCGAACTCACAAATATAGGTGGTGTGGCGCACAGGCCACAAAGACGAAATTTAAAATTGACAACAGCAAGAATTGACAAATAAAACTCAGAATCCGCCGGGGAACTCGGCAGAAGGGCCTTAGGTAAGGTCTCCAAAAGCAAAACAGAGAAATATATTTCAGAATGCACAAGACAGTAAGTTCCAAGGACGATGCTTACACTTTGCAAGGTGCATCAAGACTGTAAGGTTAATTGGGTAATTAGGAAAATGGGCAACTGGAACTCCAGCGTGGAGGTTTTACGCGGCTGTACAGTAAAAGGGAGAGGTTAGCGCCACCTGTCCCTTACAGGTGGTACCTTGCAATTCGACCTTCTGCAATTCGACCAGCATACAGAAATTTGACAGTCGAATTTGCAGGGAGGTTGACTTGCACTTTGACCCTTGCCCTGCAATTCGATCTGTTTTGGACACTTTTTCTGCGTTTTTTACTGATATTTTTTTAATTTCACGAAGTGTCTTTCAAATTGACCACATTGCAATTTGACCCTGCTTTGGCAACAGATTATGGTCACATTGTGAGGTACCACCTGTATATCCTGAGGCTTAGATCAACACAGTTTTTGCTGTCATATAGCGTTGAAAGAGGGTACAAATTGGGATAAAAATCGAGACAGACAATTTGAGACTGGACAAATTAAGACAGAAAATTTGAGACAGGGACAATTTTAGACGGAAACTAACACAGTTTTTGCTGTCATATAGCGTTGAAAGAGGGTACAAATTGGGATAAAAATCGAGACAGACAATTTGAGACTGGACAAATTAAGACAGAAAATTTGAGACAGGGACAATTTTAGACGGAAACTTTTGGAGACTGGGACAATTGGACATATGGACATTTAGAGACAGGGACAATAATTTGAGACAGGGACAATAATATGAGACAGGGACAATTTGAGACAGTCCTAAAGTAACTCTGCAGGTGCAATTTTTTTTTCACACTCAATTTTCTGATTTTCCCAAGATTCTTTGTGAATCTTGGGGAATAATATATTTAATATTTGGAAATTTTATATTTTTCTAAAAATTTAAATATTTGAAGTATGCTTGTTCAAATTATTCCCTTATCATATTTGTGCACTAGGTATTTTTTGAAGCAAGGTGTTGTATACAGAAATTTTTACAATTTTTCTTGACCATACATTGAGATTATTTTGCGCAGTTAACCTCTTGAAAATCTTTAGTGCTGTGAACTTCTGCCTATATTTATAAAGACAATAAAAAAGTTCTTATGTTTTTATATATGTACTACAAAACAATGAAGAGAGAGAGAGGAATGAAAGCAAGGAAATGCTTTTGCCTAAACTAGTCCTTCATGGTCTCCAAATGTTCTCTGTTTCCAAATGTACCTGTCTCAA